TGAGGCAGATGGGGGACTGGTTTTGCCACCATGACAATGCACCTGCTCATGCAGCCATCTCAGTGTGACAGTTTTTGGAAAAAAAAAAGCAGCATGCCTCTCTTGCCCCACCTACCTACTCACCTGACCTCGTTCTGTGTAACTTCTTTTTTGTTTCCATGAATAAAAAGGGACATGAAAGGACAGCGATTTGACAACATAGAAGAGGTGAAGAAAAAATAAGAGAGGTGCTGTCAAACACCCAAACAGATGAGTTTGAAAAATATTTCCAAGAATGGAATTTCAGATTTGACAAATGTATTAAGTGTAATGTAGAGTACTTTGAAGGTGATAAGGTTGTTTTGTAAAAAATAAAAAAATAAATAAATTAAATACAAAGCTTTGAAAAAAAATTCCATTTTTTGAGGGTGCCCCTCGAATGTCAATTAGACACATCTGGCTAGAGTAGAGTTAAAACTGCCATTCAAGTTCCAGCCTGATGACCACTCCTTGTGGCTCCCTCTTTCACTAGGGCTTTATGTCTGCTTCTTTGGGCAGTCCCATCTGGGCCACCTGACCCAGAGAGCTGTCGGCACACTGCCATGCTTCCACTAACCTTGGATCCACAACACAAGACTACCCCAGTCACACCAAGCAGCCTGTGAGCTCTCAGCTTCCTTCTTAATTTTTCTGTAGTTGGCCTGTAGCTCCATGAGCCTGAAGAAGGGCCAGCTAACATGGGATATATGGATGTGAGTTGAATGCGACTGGGATGTCTTTTTGATGTAAAGTTTCTTTCTTTTTTTTTTTTTTAACATAAATTAACCCATTTATTACCAGCCAGAGAGGTTTGCTAGAGGAGCATCTATTGGTCTTTAATCCCTTCAGCCTTCTGATGGCAGACTTGACTGGGACAGCAGAGGTGGTGTTGTAGGTCCAGGCTCCACCAGCTACTGTCTTCATGCAGGAACCGCAGTGCCAGATGCCCACAGCCCGTTTCTTCATCTTGGTTTTGCTGCAGAAGGAGCAAGTGTACTTGGCATGTTGGCTAATTTCAATTTTCTTCACCATTTTCCTGAGGGAGGCACCATAAAGGGTCCCATATTTGCCCATGATCCCGACCTTCTTGGTGCGTTTGGCCATCTTGCCACAAACTAGTCCCAGGTCAGAAAGGCGATGTAAAGTTTCTTCTTAATATAAAGGTCTTTCTTGTACATAGATGAGTGTCACTGGATTTGTTTCTCTAGTCAACCTGGCTGAGTTAGTTAATTTATTGTGTCAACCTGGCTGATAAACACATGTGAACTTAATTGAAGGGTGGAGGGATAAATGACTCGGTGAGCCTCGCCTTTCTAGTTCTTGGGTTTCTTGCTCTGTGAAGGTCAGACCAGGGTGCAGCTGCCTTAGCCAGTTCCCTGCTTCAACTAACAAGGCTCCCTTCCTGCAAGACATCCCTGAGGTAAAGACACATGGACCTACCCCGGATGCAGCCCTGGGTGCTAGAGCAGTCATGTGGAGACCCCTGCCAGTGCCGAGATGCTTACACATTCACTGACTCGACTTTCCTACTGCAGTTGGCATCATTGCGTCTGTTTTGTGAGATGGAGGAGGACTTTGTGGATTGGTGTCGGACATATGGGTTAATGTTGGACTTGTGGGCTTGGGCAGCACTGGGTTGGGATGTTTTCTTGATGTGCACTTTACCTTTATATAAAACGCTCTCTTATACATGAGTTTCTGTGGATTTGGTTCTTTAAAGTACCCAAACTAGCACACTGGCCTAACACAGGGATCTTGGAAGAAAGCCTCTGAGATCTATTTATGAAAGACCAGCCATTAAAACTCCATGAGGCACAGTCCTACTCTGACACCCAGGGTGTTGCCATGGCATTGGAGTCAACTCACGGCAATTTATTATGATTGTTTTCAAATTCTGCACAGCAGCTTTAAACTCTCTGGAGACTTTGAACAGGTGCGTATTTTACAAACTCAAACTGCCATCCAATCGATGTGACTCAGTGACTCTAGAGGGCAGGGCAGAACTTCCCTCATGAGCTTTCAAGACTGCAACTCTTACGGAGTAGAAAGCCCTGTCTTTCTCAGCACATCATGCCCTTGGAGAGAATTTCAATGTTCTGTTTCAATATTAATAATAAAGGCTAACATTTACCAAATGAACTAGGCACTACTGTAAGTTTTAAAAAAGAGGATAGTCTTGGAAGATGGCATCCGGGTAGAATCACCGACCCGGTGCTCCTGTTGTCAGACCAGAAAATTAAGAGGTAAGGAGGCCAGTACTGGCAGGCTGGGTATTAAAATTGGATTCAGTGTGCTAGAGTCTGGTTCAGACCTCCCCCTGTGATTTTCCCCTATGAAGCAACTCGAGAACTCACTGAAATGCTCTAAGTTCACTTGGTCTGGTCACGGGCTCCATTAACACCTTGCCAGGTCCAGCAGGACGGTGTCTGCCATCCTTCCCTGCACCCAAGATACTAGACCTGCAGCGAGCAGTAATTTCCACAGACTTTTGTTCAAAAGTGGCCATAATCCCAGGCTTGAGGAGAGCCTCTGAGAACTAGTCACAAGACCTCATACTGGATTTCCCCTCTCTGCTATCCTTCCTGCTCCTGCAGTCCAGGAACTGAGTGACTATAACAGCCATCCCCTTTGCCCCTCTCCCCAGCTCCGTGCCTGCCTGCATGGGCAATGATAGATAATTAGATAATCATTGGCAGCAATTGAAGAGCCACTGGGATATTTACCTTTAACAGAACACAGTTCGCCAGAGCACAATCAGTAGTGCTGTGCAGGATAGAGACAGGAGTGACCCAGGAGTGCAGCCGGAGTATAATTCAGTTCCAGTCATCCCCAAATCCACTCTGCTAATCTGGTACCTTTCCCTGGGGCAGTTTGGCACTACCCAGATACCAGGGCACCCCACAAGCCCATTATAAAATGGGAAAATTAAAAAAACAAAAGCATAAAACGCTTTCAATTCCAGGCTGTGGTCCTTTGTGTAACTTGGAATGTAAGCCCAGCACTCCATCCTTTAGCATAACGTTAGCTTAACAAGATAACCGGAACTCTAATCTCCAGAGCACAGCCTAGGACTTTAACATAACAAAACCGGAAAAGCAAACAGGTTCTGACAGGCACAGCCCAAGCTCAAAGCTGGCTCTACCAGAAATATGGCACCCAGTTCCAAAATGACACGCAAACAGCAACATACTTCAACACCCTTAACAAGAAAACAAGGAAAACAAAACAAAACAGTGGAGGAAGTCATAAAGCTAACAACGTGCATAGAAGAATCAAATGTTGATCTGACACACACACACACACACACACACACACACACACATCTTCAGAATACTGCTTGGAGTAATACGGGATATGAGGGAAGCAGTGCAGAATAAGGATGCAATGACAGAGGAGATGAAGCCCTTGCACCAAAGGGAAATACAAGAACTAATGGTTGAAGTAACAGAAGCAAAACAAAAGATCACAGACCTCACCAGCAGACTAGAAGAGGTGGAGAATTGTACCAGCAACCTCTAGGACATTGTGGCAGACTTCAACAAATGGGAAAGACAGTCAAACAAGATAATCAAAGAGGTGGAAGAAAACCTGAGGGCAATGAACCTTGGCTCAGGGAATACATAGGCTAACTGCAATAGGGAAGGATACACACACAGGTGAACTTGAAATTGAAAAGTGGGATATACTAAGGATAAAACATCTGCATGCTTGGAAAGACTTCAGCAAGAGAGTAACAAGAGATCCCACAGACTAGGAGAGGATTTTTAGCAATGACATAACAGACAAAGGGCTTATTATTAAAATCTACAATACCCTCCTAGCCTGCAAAAAGAAGAAAACAGAAGTGGGTGAAGGGAGACTTCGGACAGTATAAGACATGACAAAGTAATAATAATTTATAAATTATCAAGTGTTCATGAGGGAGGGGGTGGTGGGGAGAGAGGGGAGAAATGAGGTGTTGATACTAAGGGTTCAAGTAGAAAGCAAATGTTTTGAGAATGATGATGGCAACAAATGTACAAACGTGCTTGACACAATGTATGTAGATTGTGAAAAGAGTTGTATGAGCCCCCAATAAAATGATTTTTTTAAAAAAGAAGAAAACACTTAACCCCCCCGAGGAAGTGGGTAAAAGACTTAAAAAGACATTTCATTAGGGAGAAGACCCAAATGGCTAATGGGCATATGAGAAAATGCTCCCGATCATTAGCCATCAGAGAAATGCACATTAAAACAACTGTGAGATACCACCTAACGCCCTTGAGGATAGCCCAAATCATAAAAATCAGAGAGCAATAAATGTTGGAGGGGATCTGGAGAGATAGGAATTCTCCACTGCTGGTGGTTGTGTAGATATGTACAGCCTCTGTGGAAAGCGATCTGGTGATCTTTAAAGCAAATGGAAATTGAGCTGCCTTATGACCTAGCTATCCCTCTACTGGGTATATATCCAGAAGGGGTAAGAAATAGACCATGACCTGTTGTCTGCATTCCAATGTTTTTTTTTTCCCGTTTTTTTTTTTTTTTGTAGATGTTTATTGCAGCGCAATTCACAATCTCAGAGAATTAGAAGCAACAAATTTAGGTTGGAAAAAAGAAACAAAATTTCCATCAATAGACGAGTGGTTTAGAAAACCCTGGCACATATACACAATGGAGTACTATGCATCACTAGCAAACACTGATGATTGCATGAAGCACATCGCCTCATGGGAAGAGTTGGAGGAAATTATGCTAAGTGAAGTTCGCCATTCACAAAAGGACAATACAACATTACTCCACTGGGGTAAGTATAATCAACACAGTAGGTATAGAAGAAAGGCCACTTATCTCACACTATATGGGTTGAGGTACAGGAAGTCGGGTGGGGGACAGGCCAAACCCACAGATGTACATGTACAACACAAAGAACAGGAAAGGGGGAAAGGGGGAGGGAGAAAAGGAGGAAAATAGGCGGTGGGGAGATGATGGCACTGGGGAAGCAGGGCACTAACCACTCAGAGGGAGAGTGTTGGTTATGTCTCCACAGAACTGGGAGTGTGCATGCAGACCCCATCAAGGCACACCAAACCTTGAGGTCAATGTAACCACTTTGGAGCAACACACGAACAGAGTGGACTACAGGGCTAGCCCCAATCAGAGCCAAACTGACCCCCTCCCTAGAAGTATGTGCTACAGAGGACAACACTAACCTATAGGTTGGGGAGAGGGGCTGGCCTGCCATGCCCACATGGAAGCAAACCAAGAAGGAAAGAGAGAGAGTGAGGGTCTAGACCCCATAATGGCACACTGAGCACTAAGGACATCGTCCTTACATGGAGCTGCTAAGGCACAGAGAGGGCTGACAACAGCTCGAGACATGATAACTCCTTGCTGAAGCATACTGCGACAGGATAATAATGGGAACACATGGTGGGGAGTGAGTCCAGTCTGACCCCCCCCACAGTGGGGTGAACCAAGAAGGGAACATAACTGAGTATCAGTGGGAGCAAAGCCAAGCCACAAAGCCCCTGAGGAGCCCCCAAAATAGACCAGGCTAGGAGTGGAAGTTCCCAGAATCCCCCAGAACCAGTGGACAAATAGTCATAAAGGCCAGTGGACAGACCTGGAATTATCTATGCTTTGGTTTTTTTTTAATACTTATTATAATTTTTAGATATATATTTTTTCTTTTATTCTCTTTAAATTCAGCCTTTTGTTTTCTTTTGTATTGCATACCTTATTGTTGGTTTGCCTACCTATGTAATATAAGCCTGGGAAGCAAGCCAGAGGAGAAAGCAATGGGACCAATGGTTCTGGAGGAACTCAGGGGGAGGAGGAGGCAGGGGAAGGGAGAGGTGAGCAAACAGCACCACAGACAGGGAACAACTAGGGAATCAAAAGCAACAATGAGGAGGATGTAGAGATCCTGGGGGTGTTGGAGCAACAGCAATCTAGCTGAGAGGAATTACTAAGAGGCAAGAGAAGGGCAAGCAGGATGGTGGGAAAGGAGGAAGGTAAAAGGAAACAGGAAAGATCTAGGAAGCAAAGCTATGGATAGAGGTATAAACATAGGTGATCTTATGTAAATATATAATTCATAAAAATAGTGGTGTTGGCTGACA